AATCTAACTATAATGCTGGCCATGCTGTGTTAATTAGTTTAATTTTGGCTATTTTGCTATGCATTAAGTTACATATATATTGTGTTGATATATTTCTTCTTATAAATCTAAAAACCTATCATGTGCTATTATGCTTACTCTAAAGTCAGATTTGTGCAATTAGTATATGTTCATAAACTGTCCGCTTTATAGTAGCTCATATCATGTGCTACAAACAAGGTTACGTGATATATTATTTTTTATTGGCCAGCCATTAGCCAACTGATAGTTTGATCGACTGTTATGTGATTTAGAAACCCCTCTAGCTAGGGATGCAGGTTATACCTATACTGTATTATACAATTGGTATAATACCAGTATAATGCCAGTATTATACACATGGGTATAGGTATAATACCAATAATAGCAATGGGTTGGCCAATTAAATTGATTTATCTGCGATTCCGAAAGTTTAATTCCGAAAAATTCCGAATTGTATTAAGCTGATATCATAATAGGGTTATACTATAATATACCATATTATACAGTATTATGCCTGGTATTATACTACCACTTTCTATTATACCAGTATAATTGCATCCCTACCTCTAGCTCACCTCCAAAATTTTTTCTGGCACATGATTTTAACCAATTAGATTGAATAATTAGATGTAATATGAAAATTACACCTTTTACAAAAATCACCAATAACTCAAAATTTTGTTTATAAAACTGCTTTATATATTCTAACAAAAAAATTCCTTGCAAAATTTTGGTATAACTTATACTCATCTTTTGACCTTAATCCTAACCCTAAGATGATATTTATTGTTCGCTTATTCGATTGTTTTGATTTTACATTACACCTGATCTTTCGATCTAATTGGCTAAAAATCACGTGCCGGAAAAAAATTTGTGGGTGATCTACTAGATATTGATATAGAATACCGGTCACGTGACAAGTCACCTTTCTATTGGCCAGCCATTAGCCGATATTTTAATTGGCTGGCTTAGCCAGCCGATCCAAATCATGTGGCTTAATATACTAGGTCACATAATGCGGGTAATGTACCTTCGGGTACATGTATATAATCCCTACTAAATAATATTGCTACAAATAAATATTATCCAATTAAAAACAAATTTATAGTAACAAATAAACAATTTAAAAAGATTCTGTATATGCTAAATAATATAAACATTAATCTGCTATTACGTGAGTTATAATTATATATTCAACCAATCAGCATCACAAAAACGAACAGATTTTATCACGTGAACCTGCTAATCACTTGTCGAGTATTTTTCCGAACAATTATGATGCATACATACTTTTATCAGCTTATCTATCGATTTAATTGATTCTTTTCTTTTGTAAAAATCAGTTTTTAGACGCAAATGCATTACAATCTTACTGAAAATGTCTGAGGGCCAATCAGATTTCAAGATCAATATTTGCCATTTACACGTTGAATTACGTAGTAAAATAATTCCATGCACAATGATGTAACAGTGTCTTACCCGATTCGACCTCTGACTTCAACTATGAGGTTTTAATTAATTGATCTTGAAATTTTATTGGTGAATCAGCCGAAATTTTTCTCGAGAATTAGATTATTGTTTTTTGACACATTATGGAACCAAGCCATGCTTACCACATGAACGAATTAAAGAGAAGAAACTTAGCCTCGTGTATAAGCAAATGTTTTTAATAATTTAAAAAAATTCCCGATTATGTAAATTAGTAAATTCTTGTGATACGGTGTAAAACCATAGGCAATTCACAAATTAGTAATTAATTAAGAGGCTTCTGAGGCTTGTAAATAAATCTTTAAACAGAAATAACTTTGAAAATAAGCATTTACATAACGATAATGTGCATTGTAATATAACATTTTTACAAATTTAGAAGCGGGACAAATTTACCAAAAGCCACTGCGTCTAAGGACCAATTAATTACATATTCAACTGATCTAGCGTTACCACCTAAAAAATTTCGCCAAAAAAATTCCGCTGTTAGATTAGGGTTAGGTTTTGCTATTAAGTTAACTTTGTAGTACCAAAATTTCGCAAGAAAGACTTTTTGTTAGTGCGCAGAAGGTAATTTCATAAATAAAATGTTGAGTTATAAGCGATTTTTGGATTGTTTTGATTTTTTGCGTTTCTTCTGTGTCACACCTGATCTTGAAATCTGATCGGCCAGTGAAATTTTTTAGATAACGCTAGGACAGTTTACATATTCAGACAATGCTTATCACAGCCTGATCTTAGCATTAATTAAGCGTTAAAAAAAAAATGACAAAAATTACCGCTACCATAATTTTATCTAAGCCTCGATTGAACATTAACCAAGAGAATTTCTGCCATAATATTTAGGGTATTAAAAGTAATTAACCTTTTCCCTAGCCTCATTTTGAAAACGGAATTCGTTAATTTCTATGAAGACGAGAGTAACAAGTTATTATAAACGAAGCCTCAAATAAACGTGATCGATCGGTTATAAACACTAAGAATAAGTTGTCAAAGCCACATAAAAATAAGGAAAAAAAAATAAATGCGTTTCCCTATAATTTCATATCATAAAATCAATGTGAAATTGAATTCAAAATCTAAGCCGTTATTCGAGAAAAAGAATGTTCTCATCTCCGCAATAACAAAGCCTTTTACCTAATAAAATGAATTAAGTAATTTTGCGCAATATCTTGCGCACTATTGGTAAATTGCATCGAAAATTCCGTGGTTTCAATTTCCTCGTTCCATTATTTTTAAAATAAAGCGGCTTTACATCTATTCAAACACGCGTATTCTTCTATAATCGATTATAAGCCACGGATATTTCGAAATAAAATTCTTTATGATGTATAATACGCAAAAACATCTATATAAACCCCGTTAATCTCACCTCTGTCTTAACATCAAACAAACAGAAATCAAAAAAACAAAAAATAAAATATAACTTATATAGATATATATAAAAATATATAATAAAAAGAAAAATGAAGTTCAGTTCTATTAGTTCTGTTACCATTTTCTTGGCTTTAACCACCACGGGCCTTGCGTTTCCCAATGTCCAAAGTAAGTGTTCTTTTCGTGACATTTTCACATAAACATTGATGCTAAACGTCTAATTTTATCTCCAATGTAGAACGTGGTGAGTTAAAACGTGAGGCAAAGAGCTATGATTACGACTATGATTACGATTACGACTACGATTACGATTCCGGAAAATCTTCTTATTATAAACGTGATGCAGACGCTGATGCCAAGAAATATTATTATAAACGTGATGCAGATGCTGAGGCCAAGAAATATTATTATAAACGTGATGCAGACGCTGAGGCCAAGAGCGATTACGATTACGACTATGATTACGATTACGACTACGATTACGGTTCCGGTTACGGTTCCAGTTACGGTTCCGGAAAATCTTATTATAAACGTGATGCAGAAGCTGATGCCAAGAAATATTATTATAAACGTGATGCAGATGCTGAGGCCAAGAAATATTATTATAAACGTGATGCAGATGCTGAGGCCAAGAAATATTATTATAAACGTGATGCAGCCGCTGAGGCCAAGAGCGACTACGATTACGACTATGATTACGACTACGACTACGATTACGATTACGGTTACGGTTCCAGTTACGGTTCCGGAAAATCTTATTATAAACGTGATGCCCATGAAATCAAGCGTGATCAAGAATAATTTGCTTCTAATTGTGACTATTACACAACTATTATAGACGTAAATAATTTATTATACTCACACAATGTAGATAGATTCCCTTTTTTCCGACCATTTTTTATTTTCTTTTGAAAAAAAAAATTTGTATATAATCTTTTTTACTTATTGATTTTTATTTAAAATAGTTCTTTTTTATTTATTGATTTTTTATTTTAAATAGTTTTTGTGAGTATAATAATTGTCATGTAAATAAATTATTAAAGTTTTAGTAAATATACATTGCCTTGACAATTATCCTAACTCTGCTAAGAATTTGAATAAGTGTTTTTGAAGTATCCCAGTAATAATATTCATAATTATGAAAGTTTTCATAATGAAATACGAAATTACAATGATACTTATCCGCAAGTTTGCGCATTATAAAGGTTCTATAACACTCCTGACCACAACCTCTTGTCCACAAAAATGATATGAAACCGAATTTTTAGTTTATTTGTATCTTGATCATTGAAGTTTCGAATAACGTTTTATTATTTGGTCCAAAATTTTTGGAATTATATAAATTTAAAAATAATAGAATTAATATCGGTTAAGGTCCGGTTAGATTGTATGTAAAATTCTCATTTTTCGCCTTATTCGATCTGCACCTTGATACCTAAACCTCGAAATAATGAGCATGTCATTTCGAATACGCACATGGGCGTTATTCTGAAATAACAGATCAATTTCTCTAACCTGAAGAACCTTCTCGATTGACATAATAAGTAAAAGTTTCTGCAGTAATAATGTGCGATTTTTTTAGGGAACTGTTATTGCCGAGTTCGCCAGGGCGACCACCAAAAACCCCAAAAGTACGGTCACATTATCTGCATTATCGCCACAGCCATATCTTAATAACCAGTATATTGCTTTTGTTACATAATTTAAGAAATTTTCACGGCATTAAAGCTGCATGCAGGAGTTAAATGATTCAACAAATTATGCTTTGGCTGTGGCGTCTTATCATGTGACCGGACTTTTGGTGGTCGCCCTGGCGAACTCAATCATATTTACCCTAATATCAGCCAATCATAACAAACTTCCGCTATGCTGTTTATATAATTAATATCATCATTGGGCATACGATAAATAACGGAAATTATTTTCATCTACTGGCCAATAATATACTTGCGAACACAATCACAGCAATTAAGAAAAAAAACATCACAAAAATTAAACAACCTTACATGTAATTTTCTTGTTTCCACTTGGGCAGTGCATAAGCATTATTGTTATAATAAATATTTATTCTTTATTTAATCTTTTACCTGTTTTGCATACACAGACATAACATGTTAAGTTGTGTATGATATTTCAAACGTCAAATACAAATCTAATTCTGTAATTAGTGAAATCATTTCAGACTTGAAAGTACTTTCAAGTTTAGTAGCATTACACTATTTCGGCGCTATGCTGCTATGACATCATGTTATTTCAATATAATGCCATTACGGCTCAAGATAATTACGGCCAAAAATATGGCACATGCCGTAGCCATATTAATTTTGCAAAATTAAATCATTTATATTCATATCCTAATGAAATAATTATAATCTCAATCGTTAAATTTTATAACATTTTACTATATACTGTAAATTAACTTTTAAGGTTGATTCAGATTTCTTAATCGCCTACTTAGATTCAGATTTCTTAATCACCTACTTAGATTTAGGTAGATTTAAAGTTTTATAAGGATTCCAAATTTGATAGATTCTATTTAATGTACAATACAATTAATTTTTACGCTCAAAATAACCAATAACGATAATATAGTAATTTATAATATTCCACGGCTCCTAATGTTTGTTCATTTCTGATATTTGTTTTAAATAATTATTTTTTATTTTCAAACTTCTCTAGTTAACTTTAGTATAAGAGCAATATAATATTAATCGGCTAGTAAGTAGTTACTTTGACAAATTGTGCGACCTCTAATTTACTTGATAATTTGTTAGAGTTAAAAGAAAATAGAAATATAAAAATAGATATAGAAAAAAACAAATTTTAATCATAATTATTTTTGAATTAAATATTATGGGAATTCCATAGGAATACTTTGTGCCCAGTTAAATAAGTTATTAGGATCGTATTTCCTTTTAGTTCCAACCAATCTAGGCATATTAAATCCATAATATCTTGTTTCCCAGTCTGGCAAGTCTCTATCGATATAATCTTGATAACTAAAATATGTAGTATATCTTGCCTGAAACTCTTGTCTAAATTGCAAATGTTTCTCTATGCATTTATCTTGAACTTCCTTGCTATGACCTTTTAAATGCATTGCTATTTGTACGGTATAAAATGTACCTCTGTGTGTAAAGGCTGAACTATTTAATGGAATTCTATTTACTGCTCCATCAGCATATACATCGAATAATGCTTTTGTATGACATTCAATATTATTAAGAAAGTTTCTTAAAAATTTAAGGCCTTCTCGAGAAAGTCCTGGTGGCGCAACATCATAAGATGTGGATTTAAAAGGTTCGCGATTAAATACTGGAAATATTGTTTGTAGTGTAGCATTTTCTGAAATAGCTTCCCACCATGACCTTTCTTCAAATTTCATGTAAGCTGGTTTTGATATTTTAACTAATTCTTTGACTGCTCTTTGTGCCTCTTCTGCTGTTCCCAAATATACAGCATTAATTGATAATGTATATTTGTCACCATTGTCAGATAGTAATTGCATGTAGGGTGTTATGTTATCATTAAGATTTACTTTTGCAAGTGAAATTAATGCCATTTCGACTTGTTCTGAAACGTAGGATAAATTAATTGAGGTAACTATTGGTGGAATAGGATAAATTTTATAGGTGAAGGTGGTTATTATGCCGTAACCGGCATTACCAGCTCCTCGAAGTGCAAAAAATAGATCTGAATGATGCGTCGAGTTGATAGGTGATAAGAATGTTCCATTCGCTGTAACCATTTCGGCACTAATAATACTGTCGGATGACAATCCGTACTTTCTTGCAACGAATCCAAAACCCTAATCACCAACAATAAAATTAAAATAAAATAATGAAAAATTAATTTTATTAAGTATATATAAATCGTATATATATATATAATACTTACACCGCCAGTAGCATGACCACCAATGCCAACATTAGGACAACTTCCTCCTGGAATTAAAAATCCAGCTTGATATAATTTATAATAAGTGGGGCCTAATCTATTTCCGGTTCCGATAACTGCGGTATTCGTTTCTTTATTAATAGTAATTTGATTAAATTCCTGTACATCAATCACCATAGCTCCATTTCTTCCTCCATTTCCATATTCTTCATAAGAGTGTCCACCAGATCTGGCTGTAACTGGAATGCTTAAAGCATTTGCACAAGAAAGTGATAACTGAATATCCATTATGTTAGTGACATATATTATCACCACGGGAAAGTAGTAATTTCGACAATTTGCTACTTTAATGCTTTCGTAATAGTCGGTATCTCCCGGATAAACCGCTAATCCATTGATAATGGAAAGGCATTTTTTTATATAAGGTACTGGTGCTAAAATTTCTGGTGGATATGGAACTTTTTCGCAAAATTCATCTCCGCCAAAAGATCTAATATGTAATGATGTTACTTGGACTATCAATGAGAACAGAAAAACAAGAAGAAAAATTGTTTTATCAAATGACAGTGACATTCGCGATTTTTATTAGACTTAAAATATTGTTAGAATACGAGATTGATCCGCTCAAAAAAATTTTTATATTAGTATCACGTAAATGCATCGTTATTATTATGGTAACGTGATGTCACTCTAATGAAATTTATTCGGAAAACTGAAACCAGTTAGTGATGGTAGTAATTTATAGGCTTATCCTTTATTCCATAAAAAATTTTTTTTTTTTTTGCAAAATAAATATTTAAATGTTTGGACCGTGCAAAATACAATTGCCACATACTTTGCCACTAAATACAGTCATATCCAGATTTTTTGGATACTTAAACTCAATATATATAAAGAATATAAAAAAAAGGAAATCTATTCTACTCAAATATGTGAATATAAGTAAGGTAGGGATATAACGCAGTAGAGATATAACTCAGGTGCGACTGTAATTTTCTTTTTGTTATATACTTTTATGTTTTTTTTTTGATATTTATTTGTGACTTTGCCTTTACTAATTTTTCAAATTTCATGTTGCGATTAGAGCTTTAGGAGCTTTGAGGATAGCGAATTCATTGTATTTCTCCATCTAATATGTGTAAGGGTAAACCGATTCCAGAATCAATACAAGTCAGATTCAAAGGTCATAAAACTACAACACTACAATATTAAAGTAATGAGAAGTTTCGTCTGTGTAATTGTTGTTTTAGATTAGAGTTTAATTTATCACGAATTTCTAATGCATAAATTCTGTTTCTAATTAAATGGGGATTATCATTTAAAAATGACTTAGAATATCGGTATGGTTTATTTTTTCTAAGCTTTTCCATGTTGGGCAAATGCTTCGTTTTTATAGTTTTTACCCATTAGTGTGTACCGTATTCACTATATTTGCTATATCATAATGCCCATTATGTCGAATTTATTTGTTGTGCCTTATACCAATGTCTTTAGATAATAGCTGACATACTTCGAATACAAGTTATCAGGTAAAGTGTGTAAACTATCGATTGGTTACCTGAGATGACTTAGTCATGATCTAATGCAGAGCTTGGATTGATTAATTAATAAAAAACTACAGTCAAGTCTTGATATAATCACCAGGTTATGAACCAAAAATTTTGTGATTATAAAAAGTTGCGACTATATAATGGTCAAAATTTATATTTTTATAATGGCTAGAACTATAAAATAGTGTGACTAAACAAGTTTATTACTATATCAAAGTGACCATAACGAGGTCTGACTGTATTAGCTACATACGTACATACGTTTTAGGGATGTTATTCTACTAAAATGCTCAAATCTGCTTAATGAGATTTACTCATTATTATTATGGTTACTTTCTGATATATGACTAATTAAACTTATTATTAGTAGTCGGTAATTTAGCTCAATACGAAGTAGATATTATCATTTTAATAAATAAAACTCTGTTTATGAAACCGGTTTGCTTAAAACTGTTTGGAAGCTATTACTTGTTTCGAGTATAATTTTTTACTAATCAAATTTATTTGAAACCAATTTTATGTTACACATAACATCCCTAGTACGTCGTAACGACGAAAAATGGTATCGGAACTGATAGACGTCGAATATCGATCTCACTGATACTAACTAGCAACTAATATCACTAAATACTACTCTATCTAATCTAACCTAGACCCTAAATAATGGAAGGTCGATTGAGGCGTGGGATGATTTGATCCGAGTAATTAGGGTGTTATATTAGGGCTATAGATTTGTTACGAAGCTCTAATTCAGAGTTACAGGATTAATATATGGATTTTACTTATCGGGATTATCAAAGTGAAACACATTTGGGGAGTGGACTTGGAAAACCATCGTCTGACACTTACTTTCAATGTTGCACCTAACTAATTGCGTTATAACCAAGTTACTTTATTCAAGGTATGTCTTTAGTATATATTTTCATACTATTGAATCTTTTTAACATTTTTATTACCCTTTCTACCATATCTGTTATATTTGTCATAGCTGGTAGATGGCAATTAGATCAACCCGAACCACCTCGGCAACGACTTTGAACGAATTTTCATTCTACAACGTACGTACGTGCGTACGTTGTAAGTACTGCAGTTCCCGACGTAATACAAATTCTATAAATTTTAATTATTCTGAAATCCAAAATTCCCGAAAACCCAAAAATCCCAGAGATCTCTAAGATATTTAAGATCTGTAGTAATATAGAGCTCTTTAGAATAACAAAGGTAATAGATATATTAGGGATAGTTAGGATTCTTTGTTTTTCCGATATCTATATTTTATTCAATATATGTATTATCTCAGTTATCTTTATTATCTCATTCATATGTAAAAATAAATATATGAGCGACATCAATTCGCTCTAAATAAAGATCAGTTTTGGCAACTCAACTCAGTTCAATATTACTTTGTTCTACTAATTTCTCCTCCAGATAAGTAAAATCTGTATTAACGGCAGGAATTAGTAACTAAATTCAGTGACACATATTAAGAGTTTCATAGTAGTCTAGAGCCCTAATTAACCTTAATATTCACAGCTCACCCTCAAAAATTTTCCCGCACGTGATCGTTGCCAATCAGATCACAAGATCAGTGTAACGTGATATTCACGTTTTTTTTTAATAGCTCAAATTTCGTATACTTTAACAAAAATAATTCTTTGTGAAATTTAGTACATATCTAACCCTAATCCTAATCTAATCTTTAACTTAATTCGATTGTTCTGATTGGCTACAATCACGTGCGGGGAAAATTTCTGAGTTAGTCGGACCAAGTCTTTCCACACCTCAATCCATAGCTTTTCCATTATTAGGATTTGGTTGGAGTAGCTTAGTTAGTATTTAGCGTTGTGTTGATAGTGTAATATATATTCAATTCCGACCTTCACAGCACACGTGGAAGCAGTGAAAAAAATTCGTTGTGCACTTGTGTGCTCTGCAAACAAAATTTTTTTTACGCGAAAAAAATATTTACAAATGTGCGTTCGCAAAACATATAAATACGCAGTATGTGCACATGATTTTTTAGTACAGGATGTGCACTTTGTGTACTAAATTTTAAGTCTGAATTTTTTTTCACTGGCTTGAAGTAGTGACACAACACACTCTCCACAAATATTGATGCACAAAGTATTGATATGTACTGTACGTACGTACGTACGTACGTACGAATGTACTACCTGAAACAATATTTAATATAGATTTTGAACAAATTATTGACTAAAAGTATTACATTTGGTGAATTATTATTTTTCGCATAATATACTGATATATAAATTCTTATTTGAAAATGTCAAATACAAAAGACAATTCATCAGCTGAAATTATTCAAGTCACAAATGATTTTAATCAACTAAATTTAATTGATATGAATGATTCGGATGGCGTATTTTGGCTTGGTTATTGTTACGAGCATGGAATTGGAATAGAAAAGAATTATAATAAAGCATTCATTCATTATCAAAAATCTGCAGAAATGAATAATCCTAACGGCATGTATCAAGTTGGTTATTGTTATTATTTAGGAATCGGGCAATCATAAAGCATTTGTGCATTATTTGAAGTCAGCTGAGGCTGGTAATTCTATGGGAATTTTTAAAACTGCCATTTGCTACAATTACGAAATTGGTGTAGAAGAAGATTATTTCAAATTTGAAGAGTGGATTGAAATGTAAGTTATTTGTTAATATTCATTGATGTGTCTGAATTTTTCACATTTTCAAATTAGAAATTCTTAAAACTAATATTTTTAGGGAGTAAGCAATTATGTTAAATATAAAAATCAATAGTTTATAATTATTTATATATTTTTAAATAATATGATCCAAAACATTTATTCACTTTGGTCTAGTCCGTAAGTATAAAATATTTATTAACCTAAGTATTTAAAATAAGCTATTCAAGTACATGAATATTTACTATTTAATTTCATTTAATATACTGCAGTTAGTGAGTATAAAGTGCATTTAATAATCTAAACATTTTAAATAAGCTAATCATATTCTTGAATATTTGCTATTTAATTTCCTTTTATTCATACTAATTTAGTCAGTGAGTATAAAAACATTCATAAATCAAAGTATTTAAAATAAGCTAATCAAGTTTTTAATATTTATTATTT